AAGAAGTTTATTCTTCGCCTATTCAATCAGAGCAACATTTGAGAAATCGTATCGTAGCTGCAGCGAACAGAATATCGCAAGAACAGTGCCTGGCTGCTACAAGAGCCGTGTTTGACAGATGCAATGCTTGTATTGCTGCAAGAGGTGCACATTTCGAACAAAATCTTCATTAAAAAGTTTATAAATAAAATAATTAAAATAATAAATTAAATATATTTTTTTCTTTTTTCGTGATTTCCTGCGAAACAAAGCAAAAAGGAGCATATGTCTATAGGACTTTTTTTCTTAGTTTTTTACTCCTCTACACGCTCCCGAAGTTTTGCCATTTAATTTGGAAACACCCTGTATATTGAAGCGACTTAGTTATATTTGATAGAGAAATTATATTAATGATAATATTGTTAATATTGGCAGCTATTACAAAAAGAGCTCAAATTCTTTTTTCAGTATGATTGCCACTAGCAATAGCTGCTCCAACTCCTGTTTCAGCATTAGTTACATTTAAAACATTAGTACTTACATCCCTATACTAAACTATAGAAAATTACGACCCAAAGGACAAAAGAAAGGCAAGCACTGTAAAAACAAAAAGTGTGTTACTTTAACATTTTACGTGTATATTACTGTACTCTAGTCACTTTTTACACGTCTGTAGGTATGTAGGTGTGCAACACACAAAAAGGAAGTGTGTAGATTTGCAAGAAACGTGTAGGTGCAACACACGAAAAGTGTTACTATGTATAGTACTGTTTCTTGCAAACTACACACTTCCTTCTATAGTAATAGTAATACACACATAAAATGTGTTAAAGTAACACACTTGTTTTTATAGTGAACATTAGTCTTTCTGACTCTTCTACTTATGACAGTAACAACGTTAGCCAATTAGCGAAGCCTTGACAAAGGAAACGGTATCATCTTTGCATCAGAGTGTCCTTGTTTAGGAATTGAGACACCCCCACTCTTGGCTCACTTCAGTACATTATAGATCTCACTGCATTGCTGTGCATGAAGAGTGACGAGGACGATGCTGTCTGAACACGGAGCCAACATATGTGACATCCTGTGCAGACCCCGACCGTTCCATCATCGAATAAATTTCGCCGATAGAACCGAAACCGCGTGCGCGTGAGAAGGGCAGGACGGCAAGAAAAACAATGTAGGGCGCGCGGAGCAGGCGGGGGCGGACACCAGACGAGTTTTTCGCGCGAGCAGACGTGGTTCTTTATCCGTGGGAAGAAGCCAGACTTCTGGCGTGCTCTCTCCCCGCCGTTGCTGATGTACCGCCGTGATAAATAACTCTGGAAAAAAATCGTGGACATTAGCGCGATCGAGAGGCGTGAAGTCCGGATTCGGCACGCTTCCTCGGCCGATCTCTCGGTTATCGCGTGCATCATTACTGTATCGTCATCGGACCGGACTCGCCAAGATGATCCCCCCCCCCCCCCCACATTAATTTGTCGAGTACAATAGCCACGAGTTTGATTATCGTCATCTTCAGCAAATTACGTGCGGCGAGATGAACGCCAACGGCGCATAATTTAATTTCATATGCGTGCGGCTTTTCTTTGCCCCTCTCTGACGATATCTCTGTTATCTCGAATCGTCTACAAGTAGCTTCTTAATCTCGTTGGCTTTCTATTTGGTGACACAAG